AAAAATAATAGAAACCGTCCCTTACATAAGTCAAGCCTATGCATTTCTGGCTACCCAATTATACATTCGGAACTATTACCTGTCCGTCAAATTGAGTGTATTAGACACGGTCCCGTCAAAAAGTAAATGCATAGGAAAATGTCCATCCCATAGAGCGCAGAAGCCTACATTAAATTCAAATGAATGTTATTTTCCTAAAACTAACCAAATATAATCATGGCTGTCATTCTGCTAACGATACAGAAAAAACGTAGAATAAATGCCTCCGCTGCCTTTGCTCCATGGCTGGATTATTTTTTTTTGACTTTTTCGTTTTGGCGCAGACTGTGAATTTATTTTAAATGAAAATCCATCTTCTAAGGACTAATAATACAGAAAAATCAAAAAGGCTTACGAAATTGGGCGCAATATTTTGAATTAAGTATATTCGGGCTTCGGAATATTCTACACCGGTTAGTGATGGCGGATCAAATTTATAAATCGAGAGTCTGCTGACTGGAATGGGCTAACATTGGTCATTTGATTATTTGTCAGGAAATGCTTCATAAAGCTAACCACAGTGAGGTATTTATGTGACCTGGTTAAAGATTAAAGTTGGCACGCTAATAACTGTCAAAATAAATGTGGATTACGAACTGGAAACATGAAGAGTCCAATATATTGTTACCAAAAGGGAGTTCAAAGGCGTTCGCCTATTTTTCCCTCAATAAATGATACTGATACTGATACTGATCACTTACATGTAGGAAATATTTGCTTAAGTCAGTCTATATGTCATATCTGATGCGATCATACTTTTACATCGGATTGGCTGCTGTCCTATGTAGGTCTGCTGTATATTTAAGGCTCAAGGGGCCCTTTCATTACAAACTTAGTGCTGTCGTAAAATTAAGTACAAAGTTGGTAATCACAGCTGCGCGTAAGCAACTGTATTGCAACAGGAAGGAGTAGTATGTCACACATAGTAAGATAGTAAGTCAGATCCGATTAACAACGAACCCTCTTATAAAATAATAGTCACTAGGCAGTAAAAAAACTTCTGCATCGGTGGCAGAATTCAGTGAATCACCGACTTCCAAAAATGTAGGAGAAAAACTGCTTAAATAGGTAGTTAGATTGGTATGGTATGACACGATGCAGTTAACTGGGATCCGGGTATTGAGTGTTCGGAATGCTTATTGACGTGGGAATAATCATATAGCATAATGACGGTGAGATAAGAGGGGCTCATCCGGACAACGGGGTCGAAACGAGGAGAAGACAGTAGGAGTCATGGCAACATCACCAAGATGCGACCCAGCAGACTGCAGAGTCCACCGACAAGATGGCGACAACGTAAGAATACGCGATGATCGTCAATAGCGACCACGAAGACCACTGCCAGGGTTGCAAAACGGAGAAGAGTTTGCTTCATTTTAATATGATGCTTGACTCTACAGAGGAAAATTTAAATATATTTAGAGAGCGCTTTACTATCCTGGTAAGAGCCTCAAATGCCAAAAGGACCCTTTTCTGCTTCTACAAGTTGTGTGTTTGGGAAGGAAACAGACAGTAACGACTGCATTTTCTCTTAATTTAAATGGTTACATAATTTGCCCTTGAAAATC